ATGTCTCATGCTTTTCAACTTTGATGTGACCTTGCCTGCACTCACTCTTAGTGAATTACCATCTATCAAATAATCAAACCTATTAAAATGTAATAAGAGCTGACTGAAGAAATGGGGAATGTGCCTTGACAATAGGATATAATTAGTGAGACGCTGTCCTAAATAACACTCTAACAGGAACTCTTGGTCATCTATATGCACTTTGAGAACAATTCTAGCCCAAGTTTTATTGTCTTGAATACTAAAGTACTCACAACCTTTGGTGGGATGAGATGATTCCTGACCAAGGGATCAAGCCATAAAGCATTCCCTTTAAGGATAAACCACATACAGGGGGAAAAAAAAAAAAAACCCAATGAGTTTGTGGCTAAAAAGCAATTAAAGCTTTCAGAGAAGAATTATATAAAAGTCAGGCTAGTAGGAATTGAGAAAATCACAATCTGGAAGAGACTTTAAATACAATGCTCTCATTTCATAGAGGAGTAAATTAAGTCCAGATTGGATAAAGGACTTGCTTTGACTGCAGAGATGGTTAGGCTAAGTGAGATGCCAGATTACAATTACATTTCCCATTGCTTCAGAATACTTTAATCCAGGCAGTAGCCAGGTGTTGGGGACAATGCCTAGATCTAGGGAATTTCGGTGATATTAGCACATCAAAAAAGTAGAATCTGGAATATGTGGAGGAGAATTACTTTTATTAGTTCTAATAAGGATAAAGATGATTCAATACACTTGTCATTAAGTTAAATTTACTGTATATATTTTGTTATAGGTTTGTTTAAGTATGCTTATCAATTATAAAAAACAAATGAACCCTCTCTTCTACTATTGATTTAGATAATATATTTTTTTTGTTTGTTTTTGTGTTTAGGCCAGGACAAAAAATAATTTAGGCATAGGAGATAACCCATTACTAAAATTTGTATACTTTTATGATACTTGTTATCACAACTTGCTGCAATTTTTAATTTAGTGTCCTCCTACTGCCCAAACCTCAAGCATTTGAGAGTAGAGACTCAATTTTGCTCTATTCTGCATTTTTTTGACCTAGGATAGTACTTGGTACACACTAAGGGATTCTATAGGAGAACTGAAATAAGAAAGAACTTGAATGGGAGTGTAGATGGAGTCAAGAAAGCTGGCTCAAAAGCTTGCTGTGTTGCCTCAGATAAATCACTTAATCTCTATGAGCCTTATATGTTCCATTTATAAAAGGAGTAATATATTTTTTTCCAAGGGATAGATCTGAGACAAGTAGGTAGAATCTATAGAGAGGAAAATTTTAGCTCATTGCAAGAAAACACTTTCTAGCAATTAAATCTTCCTAAAAGCTCTCCTTATCTGCTTCCAGAAGCAGAGTACCTAATCACTTGAAGTGACCAAACATAGGTTTCATGAGCATTAGGTGGGAGCATTGGGCATTGAAAAAAGAACCGTAACACTGGAAGAATGGTTAGGGTAAAAGTCCTTTCCAACATGAGCTTTGGTGATGGCCCCTTTGTCCCATGGGATTACTGAGGCTTTAGAAGTCTATGTGCATAGCACAAACACTGAAGCACAGTGGGACTTAGCCCAAGTACAAAATTGTCTCCAAAAGGAGAGCCACTTCATTTCTTTGCATAACATTTTACTCAAATTTTAGGGGCTCACAGTAATAATAACTTTTCTATCTATTTCCTGGGTTTATTGTAAAGATAAATTTCAACAAGTGTTAAAAAGTAAAAGTACCAAAAGAACACAACATGTATTACTAAAAATATTTCAATGGTATTGTCTCCTTGGATTTTGTTGACTCAGCTGTATTGACTTTCTCTTGCATGTGAGAGTATAACAACTGATTGGGAACCAACAAGTCACCCTCTTTTAAGCCTGATGCATTCCTGATGTATGTTTGGCTGCAGTTGAGACTGGCTTAGAAAAATACTTAATAGTATGCAAATGTAATAATTCTATCTTTTTAATTGTATATTTGCAAGTTTTTCATTCTTTTCAGAGCACAGAGTCTCAGAGCTAGAAAGCACTTCAGTGAATGTATGCAGATTTGTCTCTCATCACTCACCACTTCCCCCACAAACATGTAGTATTCTCCATCTCTAGCCATACTGAACTAACAAATGCTCCACTATGCTGGATCGATCAGCTATTGCCACAAAAATGCTGCATGGCAAACCACCTCAAATGTAGGGACTTGAACCAATTCTTGTTCATGATTTTCTAAGTCTATCTGGTGGCTGGAGCAGATCTGCTTCAGGCTGTGAGTGGGCTGGGCTTTGTTCCAGTCTTTGGTTTGGGTGTAGGTCTGCTCCACATTCTTCCTCATTCTCCTGGGGCCAAGGACTACCTAACTCATGCTCTTCTTTTTGGGTATAGCAAAAACATCCTTATTACCTCATGAGACCTTGGCCCGGAACTAGCAGATTGCCTCATCTGCCTACATTCCATTGACCTAAGCAGTAACACGACCAACCGTACACCACTGGGGAGGAAAATCATCTCCACTATTCACGATTACATTAGCACCACAGTTGGGACCAGGTACACATTCATACATACTTGTAGACTAAAAGAATATTCTAAAAATGAAGGATTTTCCTTTCTACCAAAGCATAATTCTAGCTGAGTATTTTCATGGATATAAGTTTGCTATTTTCCAAAGCAGTCATTTTTGGCTTGAGGATTTTAGTTGTTACAAATACCTTATTAGATTGAGTGAAATTTAACCTACTCAGACATCTTCCAATTTGGCCTAAAGTTTCCCTAAAAGAAAAAGTGCACTTTCCCTTGGATATGACAGCTCTTTCAAATAATAGAAATAATTTTTCCATTTGAAGTATCCCCAATAGTTTCAACAGTTTCCCCCCCTCTAAGTCCACTATCCCAATGTCCCTGGAAACAAATAACTTTGTTAATATATAGATTTCAAACAGTCTTGATATATCTTATAAATATAGAAAGAGATCACCTACATCCAGTGGCTTGTACATTATCAATATTTCAATTAATGTTGTTAATTTTTAAATAGTTTCATCAAATAGATGAAATAATAAAACACGTTTTGGAAGATATTAATTTGTTTAAGTACGAAGGAAAATAATATAATGAAGACCTGTGTACCCATGACCTAAGTTTTCAACTATTAACATTTTCTTGTATTTAATTAGAACTTTTATAAAATATAAACCATTATAATAGAGTTGAAGTCCACTTTGTATCTCTCTCCTTTCCTGTTAAGGGGTAAACACTAGCTTAAATATATCATAAACATTTATCATCTTCTAAGCCAAAACGTAAAACTTTGCATACATCAAATAATCAATCTTCTACAGACCACGTTCTTCACAATTAGATTAGAAAACAATAAAAAAGTAAACAATGTGTGTGTGAAAAGAATGCCTACTCATATTGACTACAGCATTCTATTTAAGTTAAATGTGTTTTCAAATCTGCTACAATTATACTACATTTTGATCCAACGCTCACTGACAGAGGTGCATTAAAATTTCCCACTATATATGATTTTGGATTTATATATTTTTCTGTATAATTCTCTCCATTTGACCTGGATATTATATGCTAGAATTTTTTAATGATTTTGACTATTTTTTTCATTACAGACTGACACTTTTATATCGTAATAATGTTTTTTGCCATAAAATCTATTTTGTCTGATATTATACAGGTATTCCTGCTTTAGGTTTGGTTACTTTCAGCCTACATTTTTCTAATCATTCTTTGATTTGCCACCTTTCTGTACCTTTATGTATCTTTTAAACCAAACAAATATACGTTAGTTTTGTTTCTTTATTTGTATGACCTCGACAATACTTGCCTATTCTGGAAGAGAGATATCCATTTCCATTTATTTTAGTTCCTGATATGTTTATATTTGTATATTATATTATGTTTTCTTTTTACCCTGTTTTTCCTTCTTTCTCTTATGCTGTATATTTTATTAATAATTCTTTAAAATTTATTCTTCCCTTTCCCCTCTGCTAGTTTTTAAGTTATAGTCTTTAAGACTTCATTTTTTTAGAGCTGTTTCACATTTACAACAAATTAGAGAGTTATATGTTTTATGTCTGGAGTTTAATAGATATGTTTATATATATATATATTATTATTTTTTTTTTTGCTTGAAGAAGATTAGCCCTGAGTTAACATCTGTACCAATCTTCCTCCACTTTATGTGTGGGTTGCTGCTACAGCATGGCTAATGAGTGGTGTAGGTCCTCTCCGAGGATCTGAACCCATGAACCCGGGCTGCTAAAGTGTGTTGTGCCGAACTTAACCACTACACCACGGGGCTGGCCTCAATGTATTTATATTTTTAACGTGATTATTTTAAAAGTATGGAGTTAAATAGAATCTATATCCTCCTTCCCAACACATCAAGACTTTGAAATGTTTTAACTCTGATTCCTTTCCTCCTATTTTACTTAAAATTATTGGGTAGTATTTCAGTTCTATGTTTATTTTTATATCCCACAAATTAGTCTCTTCTCCTCCTCTTTCTTGTTTTTGTTTACAAGTTTATAAAATAATGTATTATATTATGATAAAGTTTGGTTATGTCCCCCATTCCAGTAAACGGTCCCCCTAGACTTGGTTCCATGAGCACAGTTGCTAAGTAGATCTTCCTTTTTCCTATTCAATCAAAGTTTTCCAATAAAAATCATCATTGGATTAGGGTCTAAGACAGAGTTTTGTGCACATCTGAAGAAGAGTAATAAACCATTTCATCGATTTTACTGTCTCACTGGCAATATTACACCTACACTTTTATATTAAGACAATTATGGCAATATTGAAATAGTCTGGTTGGCAAAGAGTCACATTTTCCTGCCAATTCTTGTCTTATTTAATTCCTGATTGCTATTGCAAATTAGTTCTTCTTCTGTTCGAATAGTTAAACTCATCTTGCATTTTGTGATAAAGGTATTTGAGGGTAAAGCTCAAACTGGCCTCAGAGACTGGAGACATCTAAGAAAATCACCTACCTGACCAGCAGTGTCCAAGATGTCCAGATAAGCTGGCTCATTGTCGATCCTAACCTGGGTCTTGTAAGCATCTTCTGAAAAAACACAAGACAAAGTTTACATTTAAATAGATCCAAGTGAAAATGTATGATTTATTTTTAGATTTCATAACAAAGAAGAATTTCTAAATAGGTTACTAATTAAGAGAATCAGAGAATCTACTTAAAGTACGTTGGTTGAGAAGGATGTACCCCAGGGATTATAGAAACAGTAGTTTCTGCTTAAAATGAAGTCAGGTGGATTTCTTCTTCAGAAGAATTTCACGATTTGAGGTGCCGTAGTCACGCTACCTAGAGAACAAGCTGTGGAACAAATGTATCCATTCTTTCCTAATCATGCACTGCACTGCCTCCTAACTTCATACTCAATGGTGAAAGACTAAAAGCTTTTCCTCTATGATCAGGAACAAGACTAGGCTGCCTGCTTTAACCACTAGTATTTAACATAGTACTGGAAGTTCTAGCCAGAACAAAAAGGCAAAAAAAGGAATAAAAGGCACCCAAGTTGGAAAAGAAGGCATAAAATTCTCTGCTTGCAGACGACATAATTTTATATGCAGAAAACTCTAAAGAGTCTTCAAGGAAACTGAAAAACTGTTAGAACTGCTAAATAAATTCAGCAAAGTTGTAGGATATGAAATCAACACAGAAAAATCAGTTATGTTTCTATACACTAACAAGGAGCAATCTGAAAAGAAATTGAGAAAACGATTCCATTTACAATAGCATCAAAAAGAATCAAATACATTGGAATTAATGTAGCCAAGGAGGTGAAGACTTGTATAGTGAAAACTAAGAAATGTTTTGGTTGTGTACTTCTTGCTAGCTTGTACAAATTCTTTATATATTCTGGATTTTAGACACTTATAGATATATAATTTGCAAATATTTTCTCCTGTAGGTTATCTTTTTACTTTATTAATAATGGCCTTTGATGAATGAAAGTTTTTCATGTTTTTGAAGTCCCATTTATCTAATTTTTCTTTTGTTGTTCTTGCTTTTAGGGTCATATCTAAGCATCTATTGCCAAATTCAAGGTTATGAATATTTAATCCTGTGTTTTCTTCTAAGAGTTTTATAATTCTACTTTTGTTCTTTAGGTCATCAATCCATTTTCAGTTAATATTTTTATATATTGTTTGGTAAGGGTATAAATTCATTCTTTTGCATACGATTCTCCTATTATCCTTTTTATTTCTGTGACATTGGTAGTCCTCAACTTTAATTTTAGGTTTTAGTTATTTGAGTAAATTCTTTTTCTTAGTAAATCTAGTTAAAGGTTTGTCAATTTTGTTCATCTTTTTGAAGAAGAAACTCTTTGTGTCATTGATTTTCTCAACTGATTTTAATTATCTATTTTATTTACCTGTCTTCTAATCTTTACTATCTCCTTCCTTCTATTAGTTTTGGGTTTAATGTGTTCTTCTTTTTCTAGTTCTTTAAAGTTTAAAGTTAGGTGGTTAATTTGGGATCTTTCTTCTTTGTAAAGAAGCATCTACAGTTATAAATTTCCCTTTTAGCACTGCTTTTGCGTCACCTCATAAGTTTTGGAATGTTGTGTTTTCATGTTCATTAATCTCTAGATATTTTCTAACTTACTTTCTGATGTTTTTCTTTCACCCATTTGTTGTTTAATTTCCACATATTCATAAGTCTTTCAATTTTCCTTTTCCTTTTTATTTCTAGTTTCATTCCATTGTGATTGGAAAAGATTCTTTGCATGACTTCAATCTTTGTTCTGACATACACTTAGAAAATCAAGGAATGCTTCCTGGAAGAAGTAGCACCTAAACTGAGCAGAAGTTAGAAGAAAGAGAAGTAAGAGAGAGAAAGAAAAATTGAAAGCCAGAATCCCAGATGTTATAAAGAGGATGGAACAGAAGAGAAACTTAGATAATTCCAGTGTGGCTAAATCCTAGAACTTAGGAAAGAGAATGTTGGTAGATAAAATTTGAGAATTTAAATTTGCTTATAAATATTAAGTGGACTCATATTTTTGAGTGATGCCTCTGAAGTCAGACTGCTTGAGTTTGAACCCTGGCTCTACCACTACCAGCTGTCTAAGTTTAGGAAAATCACATGATCTCTCTAAAATGTATGTTACTCAATTGAAAAAGTTATGATGATATTATTTGTAGTTACCTCATGGAGTTGTTCAAAGAGTTCAACGAGATAATGTATGGAAGGCATCCAGTACAATATCCTAGATGTAGTAAACATTTAATAAGGGTTAAGTATAGTTATTGTTTTTAAGAAATTTGGACTCTATTATGCGACCACCATCAGATGTGCATTTTGGAATGCTTACTCTGGCTGAAATATCGTGAATGAATTTTAAGGTAGAAAGCCAGAAAGATTAGGTAGATAGTTGGTAATCTAGGTGAGAAATGATGGAGACCTATAACATGATAGTGGCAATAGCATTGGAGGAAAGCTGACAGATTTGCAAGATGTTTAGAAAGTTGAACCTATAGCACTTGGAGACATATAAGGTGGAAGGAGCAGGACGCAAGAGAAGCTCTCAGATTTCTGGCATTGGCAGATGGGCAGATAGTTATGACATTTCCTGAGAGAGGGAAGAAAGGAGGAGGACCGCAAGCTCAATTTGGGAAATGTTGACTCTGCGGTGTCTATGTGTCATTCAAGTGAAAACAGTGAATTTCTGGTTCTGAAGCTCTGGGGAGAGATCTGAGAGCTTTATTTCATTACATCAATTTTGTTTTACTCACCATTTATATTATAAATAAAGAGCAAACTGAACCACTACTAAAAGCATTTAGAACAGAATTGAATTTGGGCACAATTCAATAATTATTCATGCTGTTGATTGTGAAGTACAAATAAACAAATGAATTATTTTCAAAATTAAGACAGTAGTAATGCTCAACCACAGGAGGCACTTTTTCAATGCATAGTACTGAGCACCTCCTCAAAATTGGATTTTTGCTAGCTTCTGGAGATATAAAGACACACACACACACAACCATGGTCTCTACTCTCAAGAAACTTGTACCTTCATAGTGGAAGACACATATATATGCAATGAGATGTTAAGATTCAAAAATTTATAGGGAAGATAGCCTACCTTCGAGGAAATTCATTCCTTATGACTGTACTCCAGAAAGATGAACTTGTGGGAAGTATAAATCACAGGGAAGTCAATCTAGTGTGGTTTTAGCAACTACCAGCCATTCTATACCATTCAGTGTATGAACAACACAAGTTTCTATTTTCCATTCCACTGTTCTTTGTGATTTCACTAACCTTCCTCTCACAAAAAGAGAAATCTTGTGGAATTACTTGTAATCTTTTTTTGAAGATGCATAAGATCGTTTTTCGATTTCATAGGGAAATAACAATAGTTACTCTGAAAAGGGCACTGTGACCCAAGGATCACACGTGAGTCTTTCAGATTTCATGTTTGTTTATTTAAACACAAAGACCACAAAAAAGAGCCTGCTGAGGCCAGGAGCATGCTGAGTAACCCAGAGGAGAACTGCTCTGCGTGATTATCTGAGCCCTAGATAAACCCATCACATGAAACGTATATCAAATAAAAGCTTCTCTTGGGATCAGAAAACCCTTTCAAAGAGACTTGATATGAATTGGCTGGAAATTAAGCCAGGCCTTCTATCCAATTTCTTTCTCTCTTTTAAAAAGTATCTATCAGAGTACACATGCCAGTGATGTGAATCTAGGTCACTTGCCTGGCCTCCATAGAAACTAATCCTTTTCATTTCCTCCCAATAAACAATCTTCCCATCTGTTGCCATCCATCCACTCCCTTTGAGACCTCCCATGCAGAAATGCAGTGACAGAAATACTCTCTTGAATGCATATAAACAACTCGCCGAATTTCAATCATCTGCCTATAGACCTAACCCTGAAGTGAGCTCATTTATCTTCCCGAGCAAGAGACCAAATGTACACAAAGCTTTATAACACAGAAATGGTAGCAACTGCCTGCTATATTGTTTGCACAAGAAAACACAATGGAGTAACATTGTTGGAGGTATCTACCACCTCAAAATCCATTTGAAAATACTGTTTGATTTGAGACTATTGCTTCTCTTAAAATGTGTCCTCTTCACTCTCCATCTTCAGCAGAATTTTACAAGAAGAAATCACCAAAGGCCTGTGTTAAAGCCTCAAATCCATCACTAAATATTGAGTTATGATTGGCCAGCCACCTAACCTTACTTGTAAGATGGAGATAATAGTACATGCTAGCCAGTGCATAAGAGTTTTATAAGGATCAACAAAAATGGCATATATGATGTCCTATAAAAAAAAGAAACCAAAATTCAAACTCAAGGCATGCTATGTCGTAACTTTTTAAAAATATTGCTTCAAATTAAGCATGAAATTATATTAAAACTAAATCACTTCTGCAATTTATATTTACCCATGTGGGAACAGCTTTTTCCCAACAAGTAAGTCCCAGAGAGTTTAGCAGGATATATTTGCAATAATCATGAAAAAATAAAGCTTTTAATTAACTTAAAAACTTTAAGGTGTTCTGGATAATTTGCCCAAAATAATCCATTTAATTTCTTTACAGGACAAACATGTATTTAAATACCTTTAAAATATTTTGGTTGTAACTATGAAATTGGGATAGTTTAAAACCACAATTTGAAACTGAGAGAAAATATTAGAAGGTTATTGTTGAATTTTCCCTAAATGACTTGTAAAAAATCTTATGATACTTGAATAATTATATGATTTACCCAAATATCAGACATGTATAATTGATATTGTTGCAAAGATATATTTCTATAACTCTGAGCTATTACACATTTCTAGGACATTAATCACTGACCCATTAAGAAAAAGATAATAAAAAATATAAAGCTATTTGAATAATGTATCTATAAGAACTTTCTCAAAGAATTACTTAAATAAATCCTCCTAATCGTATATATGTGTGTGTGTGTGTGTGTGTACAAAGCAGAAGCATCCTGGAACACGTTGTACTGGACACTTTCTTTTGAACAAGAAGTTAAATCATGGCTGAATCAGGACTGACACAAATC